CCTCCATATTATATTTAATTTTTAAATATTTATCTTATGTTCATCGGAGCTAGAGCTGAGATTATTTAATTTATCTATCACCGCTAAAGATGGCTCAAGATAAAGACGAAACGTACGATTTATAATTTAAATTATTATCTAATTTAATGTTACATAACGTTAACTCACACACAACTAACCGCTTTGACTCTCAAAGTTCACTTTTCTTTGTTACTCGTTAACTTTAACATCGATAATCTTTAATTAATTTATCATTTATTTTAACATAAATATGTCTTTGCACAATAGTATTTATAGATCGAAATAGAATTAATGTTTTAATTTTTTCTCATGCTTTAAGCGCAATATAGAAATAAGTGATTTATTCACAATATTGTTATAAACACTTTTATATTTCATTCTATTTTAAGGATGACATTTTTCAAGATGAAATAAATCTATTAAGCTCTTTTGAATTTTTGGGGGGAGAAAGTATAGCTCGTTTAAGTATTATATTCAATTAAAATAATCTAATACTATTTAAAAAATTATATTTTATCTTTACATTAAATTTATTTTAATTTATGACGTGAATTATCATGGAATTTTAAGAAATTGCTATTCTTGTTTACGAATGCAAAAAAGATTTGCAGGAAGACAAGTGACTTCAGAATGAATCTAAAATAATGATCGATAGATTAAATACTAGAGAAACACCTGCATTTTTGTTTTATATTTTTACATAAATTCGAATCTTAGGCCGATATTTATAGTCGAGAAATGTTGTCTCTTCCACTTTTTTGACACAAAAGATCGCGAGCGCGGTGTTTTTTCCTGTATTAAAAAAAATTGATGACAACATCATCAGCGTCTCTATGGCCGATATTCATAGTCGGTTCTTATTTCAAGACTTATCAAGTAATGTCTTGAGATGCTAATACGGCTCTGTGATTGGTTCATAACATCTTAAGATCGTAATATAAGACGTATTAAGACGGTCTTAAATATAAGATCTGACTATGAATACTGGCCATAGACATGAACTTGAATAAAACATGTAGAAGAATATATATCTGTATATATTTTAAATGTATAGCTGTGCTATAAGAATGATATTTAATTAAGAAGCTATATTAATCGATAAAAATAGTTTCTATGTGCATTTGTTCAATAATATGATTTTGTATTATATAATGTCATACTACTACAACTTCCAATTACACGTTTAATTTAATGTAATTTAAATTAATTATAAATAAAATTTATTTAATTTACTTAAAGTAATAAGATAAAAAAGATAAGAAAATAAAAAATCTGTTTTTCTGCAAATCTTTTTATCTTTAGGTTAACTGGATTCTTTTTTTAGCTTGCATCTATTATTATTGTTATGACTCCTTATTATACATAAGTCTGTCCGATATCCACATTTGCTTAACTAAAAAATCAGAATAATTTATTTAGTTAACCAAATTAAGTAATTAGGTCTTGTGGCGCAATGCGACATTATTTTTCCCATCGGTATCTTAACCGGAAAGGACAGCCTTGACAAAGTTCTGCAGCACCTACCTCGTCATTCCGAGATCAATATTGCACAATGCTATTGCACTGGCAATTTATGCATAACAAATGTTTGACGAAGGGACGTGAAACTCCATTCTCACTTGGTTTTAACATCGTGCGTACTGCGTTGAAACGACGAATCTTTCTCAGTGCGATATAGATGAGCATATAACTTAAAACAAATTTAATAAAATTTCAATTATTTTTGTGAAAATGTCCAACGTTCATGCTTCTTTAGATTAAAACCGGATCAATAGATATTTTTATATGCAGTGAAAGAACAAGAGGACGGTTTTTAATCTTCGGACAATTTTCACTCTTGACCGCAATTCGTGTACTGAATTACATAGTCGATTGAGTTCAAACTTCGTATAATTATTTATTATTTTAATTTAATTATTTATTTAAATTGTTCATTTTTTATTTACTTAATTGAAAACAATTTATTAGTAGTTTCTTTATACATCGTGTGCATACGTAAATATTTTACAGAAAAGTTAATTAAATGAATGTTTTTTTCCGTACATTGCATTGCATTAAGCAATGAGGTTTTACACTGATGTGGAATTGTATGCACTACGAACATCTCACATTTTCTATCAGAGCTTCGCGATATCGATTTTGAAAATATCAAGTAGATGGATTCATATGGCTCCTAACTTTTCAACTTTGCTGCATTAATTTTGTACAACAACTTATTTAAAAATAGCAAAATAATTTTTTTACTATCAATTTCTTTTGTTCTATAAAACATACGTTGATAGCGAAAAAGAGAAGAGAAATAGAAATTTTAATTAAAGAAAACTTTATTTAAATTTTTATGTGCTTTTCTATCTTATTTATTTATTTCCACATACATGATATTTACGCGTAAAAGTTAACGTTAAATTTTCATTTAATATACATTAAAGGTACATTGACAAAATTAATTAATTTTATCTCTTTGACTACATTAATACGAATTTTATCGACTATAAACTCTCTTATTTCTTTGACGCTTATTATAAGACAGGCTGCAAACTATCTATTTTATTACTGAATATAAATATATTATTGGACATAAAAACATGTTTAATATATTTATATATTAAAAAAATTCATTAAATCTTCTTCGATTACTTAATTATTTTATAATATATTTATATTTATTTATATATTATAGATAAAACCGGATATGTATTTCTCATATGTAGTTCTCATGTTGAAACAGCGATAAATGTAGTGCGGCGCATAATCGCATTATCGTGGGAACAAATGACGAAAGGATGATTAGCAAAATAATCTTTTGTAATCTCGTATTGTTTGCAACCTGCCATATGTAAGAAAGAGGAAGGGGAAAGGTGATAGATCTATGAAATTCAGTTCAATCTTATTAATTACATTCATATTTGCAGACTCACGTAGAAATTTGAATAGTTAGAATTGTTTTATCACATGTCTTTCTTATCAGCAATATACCGGTACATTGTTCGAAATACCGTTTCATAAAACTTTGAGTTATATTATCAAATTAACTTTACTTATTGAAATGTTTGGGTGTACGGCATTAATTACGATAAGCTAGATAAGTAGATAATTATTTATTATTATATTTGCTAAAATTCTTTGTAAGATGTATCAAATTAGGTTAATGTATAATTTCTTCTTACTTCTTGTTTAGTTTCTACACGTGTTTTCAAAGAATTAGACTACTCTACTTAGAAAGGAATTTCTATGAATATTTTCGTAAAAAATTATAGTCTATAATTAAACAGAGATGACATGCGAAGTTGACGAAACATCGAAGAAAGTCCTACGTGCATATTGAAACATTCGACAAAAAGTTTATGTTTGTTCCCAATATTTCTTCACTAAAGTTTCTTCGCTGTCTTTGGTGAAGAAGATCGCAAAATGTAGCTCTCGTTGTTCTCAATTTGAATCATAATAATTTTAGGAGGCTCAAATGATTAAAAATCAATATTGGTAAAAAAAGGGGCACAGAGCCATAACCAGGTGTTATTGTTTGACACATTTTTAATTAGATCGAAGACTTTACAAACATTTCGGCCTAGAATCAGGCCGTCTTCAGTGTACAGTATTAATTGTAACTAATTTTTGACGCGGTAAACGTTTATCACATAGTAGATATCGCAATAATTAAAACATAGCGAAGGGAAACAACATGTGTCGTGAAGTAAAGTTTATGTGGCGCGAGAACCTGTGATGTTCCATGTCGAATCTTATGACGTTAATAGTTTGAAATTTTAAGACTTGTTTTTATGTTGTTTTATTTTTGACGTCGAATCTTATGATGTTATTGGTTTGAAATGTCAAATGACTCGTTCTTGACATTTCAAACTATAAATAACATTATATGAGATAACACTATGTGATAAGCGTTTACCGCGTCAAAAATTAATTAGAATTAATACTGTACACTGAAGATGGCCTGATTCTAGGCCGAAATGTTTGTAAAGTCTTCGATTTAATTAAAAATTTGTTAAACAATAACCCTTTGTGACTCTGTGCCTTTTTTTTACTAACATTGATTTTTAATCATAATGTTCATGTTTAATTCTTAACTTATAGAGCGGTAATTATTCCGTGGATTCGCGAAACTACAACGACTTCTTTGTTAGTAAATTTATAGAAAAATAATAGGATCGAAATATAAAAATCAATTTTTTGTAAAAAATAAATCTTACAAATTTATTTAAGATAAAAAAGGGAGCATAAAGAAATAATGTATCTGTTATAAAATTGTTTTAATTATGAAACTTATTTAAAATAAATATATTTTTTTAATAAATCAACCAAAAAATTAGAGCGAATTAGAAAATTAGAGAGAATTTTCATTTCTCAAGCGCAATCTAATTTTGTGTTATGCATTATTCAAATATATTAGTAACTTTCTTTAACCATTTAAATATAATATGAAATAGGCGAAGTCGATGTCAACAGTTTTGATCTTATTTTAGCCCAATCTTCTTTGATACGTGCAGTATATATCGATACAAACTGGCGGAAAAAATACCTAATCATTATAGAAGAGAAAATTTTACGGTCTGAGCTTAGTAGCCTAATCATATTCCTGTGTGTATTTTATACATCATATATTTCCAACTTAGTAAACGCGCGCCTATATATTTAATCATACTTCGCAAACGTTAGATGCTAAGCTATTGCGATATGTAGAATCACATATGTATGATTTGCGTATAACAATTGAAGTAACAAAGCGATTGGTAAAGCGCGACGTGACGCCGGAATCGCGAATTGGGAGCATGAGAATAGGTGTGCATTTTATCCAATAGGAATAATCGATTTCGAGAAAGCGAATCGTATAACTCTTGGTTTTTGCAATCCACCACTTCCGTCACTGCTCCAACAAGAGCCGTGCTTTTTAGGACACCCGGCACAACAAGCGGGGGGTTTCGTTGACGGTCGTCATTTTACGTGGGGCGGCGCAAAGCTAATAAGTGGGACATACGCTCCAGCATCTCAGTATTTCGTAGTGAACTCGCCATCAAGTCGGACCATCCGTCTTGAAGAGCTATCCTCGTGTTTCTTGTCGAGCTTACCTTGCGAAGGTAGTCGCGAGCTCACCCACGTACACTCGTCGCTCAAGTCGTAAGTCATTGATTCTTCATCTTTTCTAATTTCTTCGACTGTCGCTTAACAATTACTATAACATAACTATCGCTGAAATTAAAAAAAAGATATTAGCGGTACACAGTTGGAAAATTTGTGTATACATTGGTGAAAAAAAATCTGCTGGTTAAAGTTTTTGTGTTAAATAAAATCAACATAAAGTGTAAATTTAACACATGTCTGCTATGTTAACTAAACTTAACTTATGAAATGTAAAATTATATTAACACAGTATCAGTGTTGTCATTTCATACACCGCCCATATTATGTTAAATTAACACAAAAATTTGAGTGGACCGTTTGGTACATGTGATTTATGTTAAATTTAACGCAAGTTTTCCAACTGTGCACACTATTTTGGATATTTATCGGCAAATTAATTGTGATCGACAAAATTTTCATATTAAAACCCTTCCTTTTGAAATCTGTACAAAGTGAAATATTAGTTTGAATTATTGAATCGTTTTATATCCTACACCCTAATACTGTCTTTATCCAAGGTAATATTTATATGCACCACAGATATTTATGTTAGTTTAAAAAAAGTTGGAAAACTACGATCACACAATGAGATCGTAGATATTATGTTATTTTATTATGAATATTAATATTATTATAAATATACATATACAAATACGATTGACTGTAAATTTTATGATAATTTGTTTGATGCTTTTATTACTTCTTGAACGCAAATCACAATAAATTTAAGTGTAAAGTCCTTATTATTGCTTACCGGTACGCGGTATTTATTTTACTCGTTGAATAATTTCGCTATATACAAATTTGAATTTACTTCAAATACTTGATTATTTTTCATGCGATTATATTTTATCGCGCGACTATATTTTTGTAAAAATACGAAATGTAAATTTTTTTTTGCGAAAAGAATTCCTGAACATTTTTAGAGAATGGAATAATTTTTGTTTTAATTTTAATATTTTTTGCATAAAGGTAAATCACTTTAAATTAAAATTCTACTAAGGTAAAGTCTGTCAAATTAAACGAAGAATGTAATTTTGCTACCTCCTTCCCCAAAACTTAATCTTTATCAAAAATTTCTTTTATTTTAATTTTATTTTAAAACTTTATATTTTTAACATTGCCTTTATAACTTTATTTTAAATTGATATTTTTAAACAGATATATAGTGATATTATAATCGGTTTACCGATCCCTCCACCAAAGAATTTATAATATCAGATTTTAAAACTAGTTTTATTTAGGCATATATATATATTGTGTAGTCTTCTTTCAATTGCTTTAGTGATTTAAATATTGCTACTCGCGCTTAAATACGCACATCGTGGTGAATCTTTTTTCGCTGATGCTTCTTTCCATCTGTTAATATGCCGATAAACTTCACGTATGGCACACTTTCTTGAACGGTTGTCTTACTTTATAGAATTGAATAGAATCTTATGATAATTCTTAATAAGCGTAATATATGTTATTATCACATGAATATTTTGCTTTGCATTTTGCAACAAAAAGAAATTGTTGTTAACATGACAATTTTTAATGTATGGGACACGTGTAGTAAAAAAAATTTCATGCTAATCAGTATCTGCATGGTGACGCTCAATAGAGTGATTTATTATCCATTTCTTAGAAAAAACTCGTACTTTGTATCGATTTGTCATAAGGTAATTGATATTTCGGATAGATGAGAAAGTGTAATCGGTTTTCCAAACCACCGGCCGTACTATCTTGTTAATGTACGGCACGTGTTTTGCGTATGATGCACGCAACTCAATTTCAAGACGAAAATGCTAGACAAGGCAGTTTGGGATCAAAGTGCGGAGCGGTTCACGTGCTAATGGATGAGAGTAATTTCGCTGTAATACAATTATGTTGCAACACTTGTTCGAGTCTCATCTGCGTGGCAATTCGTGCAACTGAAAGTAAAATTACGGAGAAATGGAAATATAGAAACGGAAAGGTAGCATTACCTTTCCGCAAGCAATTGCACAATGCTGGCACGGAAAGAAAGCATTGCGCATTGTAAAAAGTAATTGTAGTAATTATCATATCTTTATTACATTATTTTCGTATATTTACATTACTTTACATATCTTTATCATGTCCGCTTTGAAGAATATGTAAAGACTTATCACTCCATCTAATCGTAATCAATTTTCGTAAATAATTCCGTTTCTGCAATGTAATCCATGATGTCGAGAAAAATGTGATTTATTAATGACAATTTATTTAAGACGAACAACGATATTTTCGAGATGCAACTCATTGTATTGACTTTATTCTACAGTTTCCACGCGCGTTACTTCTCGCAATTAGTCGTCTCGAAATCGTAATGCCGTGTACGACGAAGGACACGAAGGAGTTACATTTTTCTAAAGGAAGTAAAATTTGTGTTATTCCTGAAAGACTCCCGTCTTGCAAGAATCTTGTTGAATCAATATATGGATGCGCACAATATCACAGATTGAAGCGTACGTACGTTTCGCCTCAAAAGAAAGTTGTACATTATTTGTCAGATACGTGTAGCAGCGTGCGTTGAATCTCGAGAGAAAACGTCACGTGCTGTGGGATTAGTAGGTCAGTGTTCCTCTTCAACATCCTCCGCTTCTTTTCGGTCATCGAGAAGCGTCCATTCATTTTCGGTCATCAATAATCCGATGAATGATCTACTTTATTTTCACACCTCAACGCACAATTAAAAAAATTATTCCTGTTATTTTGAATTTTCAGTTATCAATTCATATTCAATGAATTATCGTTTTTGTTTCATCAAACATTTCCTCCTCTGTAAGAATTATAAATCATTTGCAGTGTATTATATCTTGTTTTTATTCGAACAGATAACAAATGTACTCGTATGCAAATTTTCAGTTTCTTCCACTTCACACGATGGTCATAAAAATCACACATTTTCAGTACAGCTTTTTGTACAATTTCCTTATCGAATAGTAAGCGAAACCTGTCATTCCGGTCGAAAACGTAAGACGCTGCACGATCCTGTCTGAATCGCCTCGGGCCCGTTATAAAAGTCTAGGAATTTCGATCCGCGATTGGCAATGACCTTAAAGACGCCATTGGCCTGCTTTCCGAAGAACCTGTTCCTGCTCAAGCGTAGCGTTATTTATGTTCTTTCTCGTTTCTCAATCTCTTCTCTCTACGGTCGTCCCCTTTCTCCGCTTTGAACGTATTCTGGTCCGACTACATCATGTACCGTTTTCAAGTGCCGCAAGCACTTTTACTAGGATGACACTTCTCCGCGCCAAGCCTACGTTCCGGAAGAGAAACGCACGCGTAAATGCATTCTCCGGCGTACTGTGAAGCCTGTCCAATCTCGAAGTAGTTTTGATTGCATTAACGTTTGCTTTGAGATACTACGTATTAATTTTATTGTGCTATTATTAAATTATTTAACTATGTTAATGTGTGCTATATTATTAAATTATTTAACATGACGTTATATTTTCAAATTTAATAATCTATATATGACTATATATCGTGTGAAGTGGGAGGATCTGTTTGAATAAAAACAGGAAATAATACCGCAGATAATTTACGTTTCTTACAGAGGAGGAAATGTTTTTGATGAAACAAAAACGATAATTTATTAAATATGAATTGATAACTAAAAATTCAAAATGCAGGAATAATTTTTTTAATTGTGCGTTGAGGTGTGAAAATAAAGTAGATCATATCTACATATATACCAAAGTTCAGCTTGAACTCTGAAATTTATTTATAAATTAAAATATATAAAAATTCGAACTATAAAAATTATAAATAGTTTAAAGCCAATACTATAGATCCAAGGAGCGCATGTCTGATAAAATTGAGTTTTCTCTTTTATCCTTTTTGCATTTTAAATAGTTTTCTTTGATAAGATTTACTATGCACACAATAGACTTCTTGACACCAATATCAACTGTTAAACGATTTTCATTATGGACTCACTGTGAAAAACCTTTTAATACCGGTTTCGATATTGTTATAATATCCTCGATAGCTTTAAATAAATTAAAGAATTTAAGTGTTCGAAAATACGTGCGATGTAGGGTTATGTGGGGTGATGTGCAACACGTTCACGCGTTGCTCGGAAAACATATCCAAAAATCAAATTCTTGAATATATCATGACTGTATAATGTAGAGGAAGAAAAATACTACAATTCTGCGTGATTAGATTTTCAAAATTTTAAATTTTTCCTAAAAAATTTTTGAGTTTTCAAAAACACGTTTGTTTTAGCATTTTCAAATTTTCTTGGGGTGATGTGCAACACAAGTAAAATTAAGGTAAAAAATGCATGAATATCGACATCAATCGACTTAAATGTTAAATTTGGGCTTCTTAAATACAAATTAATCGAAATCTGGTGAACAAAAAATTTCACTGTATTGTAATCGACCTCTGACAAATGGCAATTTCACAAAAAAAATTTATTTTTTATTTGATTTTTTATTTATTTATTGCTTAAAAATTAATATAATGAAAGGAAAAACGCAACTGGATGATCGCCTTTCAGCAATTTTATTGCTGCCCAAATTAGCTCGCAATTGACCGGAACAGCGATACCCTTATTTTTATACTTTCGTGGCATAATGACTAAACACATTGAAAATTGCATTAAAACACTTTCATATACACATGTTCCATCGTAAAATAGCGATAAACTAGCGAAAAATGAGTGTTGCACATAACCCCAAACACGCTATTTTTCGCGGACTGGCGTGACACCAACACAACGTAAGAAAATCACAAAATTGCTGTGGATTATCAAAAGTACTTAAAAAACTAACAATATAAAAATATTTACCTATAAGATGACCTAAAACCAATTCACGAAATCACTATGAATGTGAGAAGCGAAAATTACATTGAGCTCGAGAAATTTAACTTGCTTTTCGTACAGCAAACCAGAGTGCGTGCCATCTCGCGAGTTATTTATCTAAAACAAGGTACTGTTAACACAAATAGATGACAGCTAGTATGCGGTTCTGTCAAAT